CCTAGTTGTATAAACGCCTGCAGCCACTGCTGTAGCACCTCCAACGGTCATAACCAACTTATTCCTATCAGTCAGCAAAGTTCTAATGCCCCCTGCAGTTCGCAGATGAGAAACAATTATATCATCATCGGCATTTCACAAAAATCAGAATAAAGAGATCAAACAAATATTCTGTTCCATTGACCTAAAGCTAAAATTGGCACTATTGCCATGCACCAGAGAAATTAAAAGACAACATTTTACTCACCCCTTAACCATCCACATTTTAAAATACCCTTAATCCAGTAACCCTAACCCTACATGACCAGGGGTAGTAACCCAGCAAAGGTGGTCATTAACTGGATGTCGACTCTACTTGGTTTACTTATTTTTTTAATTTAAAACTTCTCCTTACAGCACTTTTATTAGAGGATAATAATTGGGATATTGGGAATCACTTTGGCAAGTGACAGTTGCACTGGGACAGTACGCAAAAAACAAAATTAATAACAGGAATCTGATTGGACAGAAAAGAAACCAGGAGAATCTGTCTTATGCAAAAGTTGCTTATTCATGTATGTACTATGGTTATCAATAATTCTACTCAGTTTTGCATACCTTCAATGTGACCAAAAGTTGTATTGATTGCAGCAAGCCATTTTTCTTTTTCACCATTCATCTGATCTATAAGCATATTCCTGTTAAGTTCCGCATTCAGTTTTTCTTCATGGGCCCGACCTTTAGCCTTTGCAATGGCCTCCGCTTTTATGTTTTTTAGTTCTAATTCATGTTTCTCTCTTTCAGTTTGGCGCTGCTGCTCTTGGTTCTGTGCCTCAGTAGCCAGTCTTGCTTTCTCTTTTCGGATATTTGACTCCTCTTGCATCCTAAGCATTTCAGCATTATTCTGCCTCTGCTTTTCATGATCCATCTGCACTCAAGAAGACAATAAAATGTTAGACTTGACCAATGTTTTAAAAGGAGAAGGCGAAGGCGAGGCGTTTCATGGATAGGACCCACCTAGGCGAAAGCCTTAAGGCATGAGGCGACGCCTTACGGGACCAAAATAATTGGGGTATGCTGTGGGTTATTAAAAAAAAAGACTTGGCCAAAACAACATTGTTTTTGCGCCAAGTCATTTAAAAAAATTAAAGACTTGGCCAAAATGACGTCGTTCTAGGACAAGTCTTTAAAAAAAATTCTTCTTTGCGATTGTCTTCTTCGCGAAGACGCCGCCGCCACTGTGACGATTATAAGCCAGAGGGCAGAGCCTCAGAGGCCCAGCCTTCAACTTCGAGGGGTCCCCAGAAAATTTCAAGCAAGGATTTCGGATCACTGATGGATCCTGGGAACGCCCGTTCAAACACCTCAGGCGTGCCTTAGCCGCCTAGGCATGCCTTGAACATGTCGAGGCGAGTTTAAGCCTATTCCCGCTGGGCAGAGGTGTTATCACCGCCCGGCATCCAAAGCCGCCTGGGCGCACCTCAAGGCGCATTTTTTAAAACAGTAGACTTGACCAAGGTTTCACCAATCCAGTATTTAGAGTGCAAGTAAAACTTGAGGAACATACAAGCTCTTTTTCCTATATAGCATAGAGTTGTTTGGTACCCTTCACGGATCCAAATTTTTGTTTTTAAAAACAAGAAATTGGATCCAAGAAGAATATCAAATATGCGCATAATTTTTAGAAAAAAGAAGACATAATTTATTCGACTGCTTGCACCTTCATTCTATTCCTAGCGTGTTCATCTTCCATACGAAGCATTTGAGCCTTTGCCTGTGCTTCTTGTTGCAGTATATTTAATTGTTCCTCAGCCATGTTCTTACTCCTTTCCTGTCATCAAAAGATTTCAAAGTATAAGTTTAAATGCACTGAGGCAGATAAAAGAGAAGAAAACAAATTTGCAATTTGCTAAACCTAAATGGCACAAACCTAGAACATTATCTGTTTCACTAATGACATAAAAGACCTAACCCATGTCACAAAAAAGAAAAAGGACCATGAACCAAAATCAAACGAAGTTATTGCACATTCAAAGAAAATTCCTCATATGCGCAAAGCCTTTTCAGTGAAAATCTATACAGTGAGAATACCACCTGAACCTTATTAGAAGAAAATATTGTGACAAGGCAGTTATAAAAAAATATGTATGCGGTACATGGAAAAGATAAATTGTAGCCAAACGATTGAGATGAGCTGTTTGAAATGTTTGACGAATAGACTACCGAAAACCACATTTTACAACCAACTGCAGTTTTAACATGGATTGTACGTCTGTAACTTACAAGATCATTTTGAGCTTGTATTGCTTCAAAATGAGCCTTCTCTGCATCCAACTCGGTGAGACGACTTTTTTCTTGGCTCCTCATCAGACTAAAAACCTGGAAAACAAGACCAGTTGACCAAATTAACACCTTTGATTCAGTTGGATTGAAACCTCAGCATAATAAAAGACAAAACACATTTCAATTAATATGCTTCAAGCAGCTTCGGTTCCCACAATAACAAAGGTCGGTACTTAAGCTTAAACAGGGGCAGGGAATAAAATCACGGGCATGGTAATCATTGAAGCACATAGAAATAAACTCAATGTCCTATTAAATTTCTATTCAAACGAATAATAAAAACATTCAAAACGAAAGTATCGGAACAAAAGGAAAGGCAAAATCGAGACTACAGCATTCGGATTTAGTCCCTCATTTCCAACCTTAAGATCCAATAGATCCTTAAAACTAAAAAGAAAAGAAAATTGATTTTTTCTACAATTTTCCAACCTTTCTCTACGGAAAAAAAAAAACACCAACAAAAAAAAATATCAAATTCAGGAGCAGAAAAGCGACCTGCTTGGATAACTTAGAGGAATTGATTTCGCGGAGAGCTTTGGCACCTCGTTCGAGAGCCTCGGGATCGAACCCCGACCCTCTGGGCTCTTCAGCTTGCGGTTCCGATTTCGCATTGGGGATCTGGTCCGCCGGAGCGGCGGAAGGCGGAGGAGGAGGAGAAGGAGAAGAATACGAGAACGGATTGAATCGGAAGGGAGAATCGGCGTAGGTGCGGTTGGAGAGCGCGGGCATGGAGGCCGCCGCGACCGCCATTGCTATGCACGAAGACAGCTTCGAGGCAGCAACCATGGTTAAAGTTTGGAGATTTGGTCGGATTTTCTTTCAAGGTCGAGAAATCATGGGCGTGTAAAAACTGAAAATTCTCAGATTTTCTGTGGGAGCTTAAACCCTGAAAATTCTAGGGTTTAACTTTAAACGGGAACATTGAGAGGGAGGCTCGCTCCTCGCTTCCTGGAGGTTTGGCGTGGAAAGTAAACCGATTAACCAACTGGAACGTATATGTGGGTCCCATGGTTTGCTCCATTATACATTGTGGGCTGGATTTGGTCCAAAATGATTTCCAGAGAGGGCCCAATTTGGGGAAATATGATGTGGAAAACAAAGTTGAGACTTCTAGGCCCAATTGTTCTCAATTAAGGCATATGAGGGTAAATTTAAATAATAATAAAAAATATAAATTACAATAAATTCATCTAAATTATAGAAAGGGACTTGCGAACTTTAATAAAATTTATAATGCACACCGCTTTAGTTAATTCAGTTAAATTGAGGTCTACCAAATACGATTCATTAACATGAAATGAGTGTAAGAAAAATAATCCATAAGTTGTGACATGTGATTTAGGGCTCGTTTGGTTGTGCTTTTGAAAGAGTCAAAAGCGCTTCCTAATGAGTAAAAGCGCTTTAGTTTTAAAAAATGGTCGTTTGGCAAATATTTTAAAAGTGCTTTTAGTTAGAAGTAGAAGCACTAATAAGCATTTTCTAAGAAGCACCTAGGAGGTGCTTCCTCCTAAAAGTGCTATGCAGAGAAACAAGGGAAGCACTTTGCTCCCTTTAATGAATTTTTTTCAGTTCCCGAATTATCCCTATTTTTTAATTTGCAAAGTCTAAAATGCCATTACACTTGAAAAAAACATCAAAATTGACATCACCAATTTTTTCTAGGTTTGCACGTTAAAAACCTAGAAGTCTTTTATTTTCATAATATTTTGGTGGCTGGAGAAGTCATCTTGGTCTCCATCTCTTCCTCTCCATCTTCCCCAAATCTCTTTGCATCTCCATCACCTAAAATTCTTGTGGAGGTATGTTTGCTATTTCTTATCTTAAAATTTGTATGTAGTGTGTGAATTTGATTGTTGATATGTTATTTTTATCAAAATTGTTGTGATTTTTGAACTACACGAAAATAATTTTAGGGTTTAGTGATCGTTCATTGACATTCCAATGGTATTTTCTACATTTTTTTCACGATATTTCTAATTTTCCTGATTCGTTCTCTGATGCCCTTGAGGTTGACGATTCATGACTTTGCACATCCCATCCCATGTAAGTAGATGCGTGTGACACAGAACGTTCATGTCGTACATATTACTTGGACACCATCATATCATGAATGAAACCAAGCATTCGAACGCTGAAAGACCGACGATGAACAATAACTTGCAGATTTGATGTCGCATTAACGATTGTAGATACTACTAATAGCAAATTAACTTCCAATGACAACAGAAAGCAACACTAATGAATTTATTGTTAATGGTTACATATCCTGCATTATATATACAAATACTAGATACATATGCAATGGTGTACTGCATTATTATATATAACAACGGTGTACTGCATTATTATATATAACAAATACTAGATACATATGCAATAGTGTACTGCATTATTATATATAACAACGGTGTACTACATTATTATATATAACAAATACATACGCACTGCAGTTTTGGAAGAAACGGTGTACTGCATTATTATATATAACAAATACTAGTTACAAATCTTGCATTATTGCTTTTAATTTACTTTTGTGTTGTTAGCTAGGACGTAAGTAGTGGTATATGCTCTTATTATGTGCTATGGTTTTTTTTCCACTTCTCTTTATAGATATGTCTAAGAATATAGTTAAGATATGCAAGATCGTGGAGAAGGTAACGAAAAAAAAGAGCAAGGCAATGTGGGATGATGCAAGTGTTGAGATATTTATAAGTGTTTGTGTAGTTGAGACATTAGCCGGAAATCAAACAGGTGGTCATCTTAATAGAATTGGATGGAAAAATGTTATTAAAAAATTTAATGACCTTACTCAAAGGTCATATGTTCATAAACAACTCAAGAACAAATGGACTACACTTAAGAAAGAATGGCAATTGTGGGCATCATTAGTTGGAAAAGAGACTGGCTTAGGATGGGATCCTGTGAAGCAAACTATCATTGCAAGTGATGAGTGGTGGGAGAAAAAAGTGAAGGTGAGAAATTATTATCTCATATCCATGGAAATCTAACTTCATATTTATGTTCTTTTATCATAATTTGTTAATTGCAGTTGGTCATATTTCAGGAGAATTCTGAAGTTGCAAAATATCGAAATAGTGGATTGAAAAATGTTGACCAACTGGACATTTTGTTTAAAGAAGGAGCTGTTACAGGTGTAGGTGCATGGGCACCCTCACAAGGGTTGATGAGTAATAATGTCCAAAAAGCTCCAACATGCAAACAAAATGACGGTCAAGATGATTTGGAGAATGACATAGATAATAATGAGGGGCTTGACGACATAGCCGATGTTGAGACACCTTCCCCTGCTCAACCTTCAACACAAGGAAGAGGAACAAAAAGAACAAGAGATTCTAAAAGAGTTGGAATTGGGGCCAAGATGATAAAGCAATTAGATGGTATTTTAGAAGCTGTAAACAACCGTTCTAAGAGCATAGATAAGCCTGGTTGTAGCATTGAGGAAGTGATGCAAATGTTGGAAGGAATGCATGAAGTTGTGAATGATGATGAGCTCTTTATGAAAGCGGCTGATATCTTCACTGAAAGAAAAAATAGAGAGATGTTTGTTGCATTGAAGCAATCTAACCGACAAATCATGTGGCTCAAGAGCAAGAAAATTTGATTCGTCACATTTATCTTAGGATTATATTTTTCAACATGTTTTTTTTTTTGGTGGTTGAATAAGTATTTATTATGTAATGGATTGGTTAAACATGTGTGCCTCTAATATCTTTAATTATATGATTTTTTTAGAACTTTATTCAGAATGTGATCTTTATTTTTGCCATGATTATATATTCCTCTCGTATTAAAATTTTCTTTTGTGTTTATAGATATGAGTTCTAGCAACAGTGATAGTAGCAATACAAACAACTCTACTGATGGAAGTGATGATGAATTTTATCAACTAGTTTCTGCAAGCTGTGTCACGGCTGTCTCTGAATGGTTAAAGTATGTTGACAAAGAACCTTGTAGGACTTCTTCGTATACGGGATATAGATGGGTAATGGAACTTTTAAATGGTCATCCTATAAGATGCCATGAACAATTTAGGATGGAACAACATGTTTTTAAGGACTTGTTAGAGACTTTGAAGTGTGATTATGGCTTAAAAAGAACTGGAGATATAACCCTAGAAGAAGCATTAGCAATGTTTCTAAACACATTAGGTCATGGGCACACTAATAGGATGGTCCAAGAAAGGTTTCAACGCTCTGGAGAGACTGTTTCTAGGTGGTTTGGGATACTATTAGATGTTGTTTCTCGCATGGCTACTGATATTATATGTCCACATGATCGGCAATTCAAGAGAGTATCAAATAAAATTAAGGATGACAATCGGTATTGGCCATATTTTAAAGGTTGCATAGGGGCAATTGACGGAACACATGTCCCAGTTGTGGTACCTAGAGAAATGCAAGTGCCATATATAGGTAGAAAAGGAAATACAACTCAAAATGTTATGGCTGTATGTGATTTTAAATATGTGTTTCACATTTGTCTGGGCTGGATGGGAGGGTGCTGCTCATGATTCACGTATATTCATGGAGGCCTTGAGAAGACCAGAATTGAAATTTCCTTATCCCCCTTCTGGTTAGTAATCAACCTTAGTCTTATATGAATGTGTTTATTTATTTATTATCTTATGAACACAAAAATCTTTATATTTTTCTTTTCAATTATGGTGTAGGCAAATATTATTTAGTTGATGCTGGATATCCACATATGAATGGATATATTGGACCTTATAGGGGTGAACGATATCATCTTCCTGAATTTCGACGTGGAAGTCAGCCAAGAGGGAAAAAAGAGATATTTAATCGTCCCTAAGATGCACAATAGAAAGAACTTTTGGTGTTTGGAAAAATAGATGGACAATGATTCGTCTCATGCGTAACTTCCCTTTTGAAAAACAGGTACAAATTGTTGTTGCTTCAATGGCCTTACACAATTTTATTAGGAAGCATTCCATGACAGATCAAGAGTTCCAACCTTATAATGATGATGATGAGCTACTTCCACCTGGACATGAGGAAGATCATAGAGATGAAGAAATTGTTGATGAAAATTTTACTCATAGGCGAGAGATGGATGTTGAATGAGAAAGGATTGCTAATCTTCTTATATCTAGTTAATGCTTATTTCACATTTGATTGTCATGCAACTATAACGTGTCATTTTGTTTTCAAGAAACAAACACATATTCTCAATAAGTATGTATAATTTTGTTAGTGATCATTATTTTTTGTAATTGAATTTTCATCAACTCTTAATCAAATTGTATGCTAATTATATACAAAAAATACTTATGCAAAAATTATTGAGAATTATTAATGAAAGCGCTTTTTCATTTGACAACCAAACACTCTATTTAATATCAAAAACGCTTCTATCCAATACAAAAGCGCTTAGTTGGTTGCATGCCAAACAAAAAACTACTTCCTCATAGAAGCGCTATTGAAAAGTGCTACAAACAAAAAGCGCTAGTGAGTAAAAGTGCTTTATAGAGTAGCACATCCAAACGAGCCCTTAGTTGGTTGAGAACATCTATTATTTATCTCATGTTCGTGATCCCTCTCTTACCTTGTTATGAAAAATTTGGTTGTGTTGGTGGTTATGTTCCAAAAAAGATAGATGTTATGATTTTGGACACGAAAAAGCTTTTGTGTAGGCATCCAAACCACGTATTTGGTTTAGTGGCACAATCCTTTGGCTTAGCTAAAACTTCTCAACAGTCCAATCCTTTGGCTGTTGAATGATTTTAAATTCAAATAGATTATTTGTTAATTGTATTATCTATAAATTATCTTTGGCTTGTTTTGAAGAGTTTGTTCTTCACTCAAACTCTCTATCTGTAATCACTATATAAACATTAATACAATACACTCAAACTATCAAGCACAAGCACAATTCTTATATGGTATCAACCTTCTTCCTAGTCTAACGACACCATTTCTTCCTCAAACACAATGGCCTATTCCGCTACCACTCCCTTCACCAATGTTTCTGCCCTCCTTCCTTTGAAACTGGATCATCACAACTACTCTTTGTGGCGAGCACAGTTTGTTCCATTGCTTCGAAGTCAAAGTCTAATGCCTTTTGTTGACGAAATGTCCAAGTGTCTGCTTGCTTTTCTGCTGGATGATGAAGGTCATCTTACCGACAACACCAATCCTCGTTTTGAGCTCTGGATTCAGCAAGACCAGATGATGCTCTTGTGGCTCATCAGTTCCCTCTCTCCTCCCTTCATGCATGTTGTTGTCAAGTGTGTTAGTGTTGCCGAGGCTTGGAAAGCTTTGCAGGAACGGTATGCACCTTCTTCTCACAATCGAGTTATTCAACTCCGTGGCGAACTTCTCAATCTTCGTTGTGATGATCTTAGCATTGCTGATTTTTTGATAAAATTAATACTTTGGCTAATCAATTAGCGTTATCTGGCTCTCCTATGTCTGATGCTGATTTGATTTCTACGATCATGAACAATGTCAGACTGTTGTATGAAAATATCGTGGCATCCATACAATCTCGAGAAACCCCTATTTCTTATGCAGCTTTGGAAGCATTGCTCCTTAGTGGTGAAACTCGACATCTCACTTTCACTTTGTCTGGAGATACTCTTATTCTTGCCATGATTGCCATGGCTACTAACCGGGGCCGCAAGGTTCATGCACTTGTTGGTTTTGCACACGGTGTAGAACGTGTTGGTGTCCCTCATTGTGGTGGTTTTGTTCCTCACCCTAATGGCAACGCTGTAGGTCCTCATTGCCCTAATGGAAATGTTGTAGGTGTTTTCGATGCAGGTCCTTCCTTTGCTGACCGTCCACCACTCAAGTGTCAAATATGCCGCCGAAATGGGCATTCTACGATTGACTGCTACAATCACATGAACACTTCTTCCGAAGGTCGTGTTCCTAGTGCTCGCCTCACAACTCTTACTGCTCAGTCCCACCGTGTAGGTCAAGCACCCACTACTCCAACAAGTTGGCTTCTGGATTCTAGAGCCAATGCTCACATCACCAACGATCCTGGTCAACTCATCAATACACAATAGTACACATGCATAGATAATGTTAATGGCATTAATGGTAGCCAAGGTTTGCAAATCTCTCACATAGGAACATCCTACATACACTCTCCCACTAAATCTTATACCCTCTCTAATACCTTATACTATCCAAATGCTTCTCAAAATATCCTTTCTATCAATCAATTTTCTTACGATAATGACTACTTCTTTGTACTTTACCTAAATTTCTTTCGTGTTCAGGATATCCATTCGGGGAATGATCCTTTTATCAGGGCGGAGTAACATTGGGCTATATCCATATGCAAGTTTCAATTCAAATAAAAGCCATGGATTTTTTTAGTGCATGGGAGTTAGAGTCGATGATCGTGTTTGGCACTCCAGACTTGGTCATCCATCATCACTTATTTTGAAGCATTTAGTTTCTACTAGTAAAGTGCCTCTTACTAGGCACAATTTGAATTTTGTATGTCATTCATGCCATCTAGGCAAAAGCAAGAAATTGTCATTTCCTAAATCAAATTCAATTTCACATTTTCCTTTACAACTTATTCATTCAGACGTATGGACATTGGACATCCCCAACTTTGTGAATTTTCGGATTTCGTAATTATGTGCTTTTCATTGATGATTATTCGCGATATATATACTTGGCTATATCCATTAAAATTAAAATCCGATGTGTTTCCTACTTTTATTAAATTTCAAACTGAAATGGAGAATAAATTTCAAAGGAAAATTCAAACCTTTCAAACGGATGGCGACGTGAATACATCAACAAAATTTTCAAAACCTACTTGGAAAAACATGGAATTCACCATCAATATGCACACCATCCTTAACAAAACAGTATAGAAGAACGAAAACACCGTCATTTGGTGGAAATCAGACTCACTCTTCTTGCTCATGCATCCATGTCTGTCTCAAAATTATTGGGCTGAGGCTCTTCATACAACTAATTTTCTAATAAACCGACTGCCAACCAAAGTTTTAAACTTAATTTCTCCATATACAAAATTATTTCAACGGGAACCATCATATGAATTTTTCAAAGTCTTTGGGTGTGCCTGCTTTCCCTATTTACGTCCATACACACCTACTAAATTACAATTTCGTTCCAAGAAATGCATATTTTTAGGTTATTCTTTGTGTTTTCATGTCTAAGCATGTCATTTTTTATGAAACTTGTTTTCCATTTAATGAATAGTCCAGTGCTACTTCTCACACCTCATCCCTGCATGATAGTACTCCCATTGCAATTGGGACTCCTGAATTACTCTTCCCCTCGCCATCCCCACCAAAACTGGTCCATATCCAACCCCACAATCAACCCTTTCCATCCACCACTTCCCATCTGCACTCAAACACTATCTCTGACTCAAATTCCTCTTTTTCCAGCACCGTTATCTCCTCCCTCACATCTCCTACCCTACACGCCACCCACTAGTTCACCTCTAACCCTTCCCAACCATAACCTATGGCCTTTAGTATCCACCCTCATGCATCCCATGGTAACCCGTGCAAAAGATAGTATTCACAAGACAAATCCTAAGTATGCACATACATCCACCACTAACGTTTTATCTGGGCCTACTTGTTATAGTTAGGCACATAAATTTCAGGAATGAAGAATTGCAATGGCAGATGAATTTAACACCCATCAGCGGGCTGGCACCTGGTTTTTGGTCCTCTACAATCCTTCCATGATTGTGTTTCCCAACAAATGGGTTTTCAAACTTAAACGAAAACCGGATGGGTCTATTGACAGATTTAAAGCTTAGCTTGTTGCGAATGGATATCATCAACAACTTGGACTTGATTATGGAGAAGCGTTTAGTCCCATGGTTACTCATTCCACCATTTGAATGATCATTGCACTTGCCGTTCATTTTTCTTAGCTCATACGGCAACTAGATCTTCAAAATGCCTTTCTTCATGGCTCATTGTCTGATGAAATGTATATGAAACAACCCACATGCTTTGTTGATCCTCAATGTCCAACACATGTTTGTCAATTGAAACGTTCTATCTACGGTCTCAAACAAGCTCCAAGGGCATGGTTTCAATGTTTTTCCAACCACCTGGAACATCTCGGTTTTATGGCTTCTCAGGCAGATTCATCACTCTTTGTTTACTGTCATGGTTAGTTCGAATTTATTTACTAATCTATGTTGACGACATCCTTATCATAGGCAATAACATCAAGTGCATTAACACTTTGATCAAGGACATGGGCACAACTTTCTTCATGAAGGATCTTGGTCATTTGAATTATTTTTTGGGCATGGAGGTTCACCGTTCCAACAATGGGGTTCATTTATCATAGTCCAAATACATCATGAACTGAAATGGACAAATATGATTGATTGCAAGCCCGTTTCCACACCTGCAATCAGTGGCAAACAGGTAAGTCTTTACGATGGCGAACCATAGTCTGACATCAATGAATTCTGAAGCATGGTAGGTGCTCCTCAATATCTCACATTCACATGTCAAGATATTGCATTCTCTGTTAACCAGGTTTTCCAATTCATGCACAAACCTACCACTACACACTGGATTGTCGTCAAGCGAATTATACGTTATTTAAAATCCACACCTGATCACGATCTTGTGTATAAACTTTGCCCTCTCACTTTTACTGCCTTTGATGATTCTGATTATGCTGGAGACCCCGATGATCGCATATCAATAGGAGGATATTGCATTTTCTTGGTTCTAATCTTGTGTCCTGGAATTCCAAGAAACAAAGAGGCGTTTCTCGTTCTAGCACTGAGTCCGAGTATCATCAACTTGCCATTACTACCGCCACAATTTCATGGTTTTGAAAGTTATTCCATGACCTCCATCTCCAGCTTACTACTCCAAAGGTATGGTGTGACAATATTTATGCGATCTCCATGGCTTCCAACCCGGTTTTCCATACACAGACACGCCGTGTTGAAGTGGACTACCATTATATTCAAGATAAGGTAACTCGACGTGAAACCCAAGTGGGCTACGTAGCTACCCAAGATCAAGTTGGAGATTTTTTAACAAAAGGCATGTCCACTTATTGGTTCAACTATCTTCTGTCCAAGCTTCCTGTTCGCCGACGATCGCTCAGCTTGCTGGGGTGTGATAAACCATGTTTGAAATCCAAGCTTCCTGCCACAAAACTCCCTGAAGATCACAATGGAATCAGTTAACAGGAAGGCTTAGCTAAAACTTCTCAACAGTTCAATCCTTTGGCTGTTAAATGATTATTTGTTAATTGTATTATCTATAAATTATCTTTGGTTTGCTTTGAAGAGTTTGTTCTTCACTCAAACTCTCTATCTGTAATCACTATATAAACATTAATACAATACGCTCAAACTATCGAGCACAATTCTTATACTGAATACTCTCTTCTACAAGTATGTGGTTTATTTTCAACCATAGATCATGAGTAGTAGAGATTAAATTAGAAAAAAGATGATCGTTAAGGTCAGTCCCATGTGGATGTGTGGTAGATTCTCAACCGTAGATGTATATGAGTTTGCACATCGAAGTCCATACACATCAATGGCCATGGATTCAACTGCGCGCCCACCAACCCTAGCATTCTCCTCATAAGAATTTTTAGATTCTCCTCGTGGCCGTCTTTCTTGATTGAATATTTTAGTCCAGAATCGATCAGGTCAGCCATCATATTCTTCACAACTTTTAACTTTTTTTTATTCCATCAATATTTTAAAAGAGATCACTATCTTTTAATTAACATTATATGTTGATGCTGATGATGTAATTATGCCAATAGTCATATCCCATGTTCCTTTTCAAACTCGCATCGGTTTGCATGGTTTGATTGCCGTATTGCTCAAGTTTTTTGTACCATGCAGTGTAAACATATTGTTTGGAGCACGGATCTCATTCTCTCCCTAATGGACGAGAGTATCTGTCTTGTAACTGGTTGTGTAATATTTGCATTTACAGTATTTATTGCGAACTATAGCAGCAAAGGGACGTACAACCGCGTAGATTCTCACCTAAGGATGGGGAATTCAAGCTGGACAACAATGGGGAAGGGATGAGATTGGGAAAGGGATAAGACTATCCCATCTGTCTTCCCATTTATAGATAACCAGATTATAAAGCGAATATGCTTTTTGCAAACGTCATATATAATTGTACGTAGCAGTATTGAATTTCATAGACCCAATAGATGGTACTTCGTACACTGATCGAAATCCACATCAATGGTTAATTTAACTGCATGAAACCCAACTGCTTTCTTTGCATACATACATACATACATACATACACATCTGCATCTGCTAATGTTCACAACTTTGCTTCTTGAACTTAATGGAAACGATAGATATCATAAACTTCAAGAGCCTGCCAGGTGGAAGAATAGAGAAACAGAAAGTTTTAGTATGCAGAGAAAAACTTTAACGGTCTGCAAAAACTGTGAAGAATGCAGTATTGTTTAAATGCAAGACTTTCATATCTAATGTGGAATACACTCAACATGCCTTTTCGCGTATGTGGTCTCTTCATCTTAACACATGTGAGACTATTAGGCCTAACATGAATAATGCTTTGGTATCATGTTAGAATGTTAGCGTATCCAAAGGAAATCGCAAAATATTGAGTTGGGTTTGGTAGAGAATCCTCATGAGGCCAATGTATCTCACATTGCATTTGTTTCAAGTGGTGAGTATTAGGTCCATATAGGACGAAATGGCATATGTTATCCAAAAAGGGGTAGGATTAAATCACATGTTGGCATTTCTTTGTCCTAGAGACAGGATAAGAGGTTGAATACAGTGTGGTCACGTATTTCCTTTTTGCATTAAATCTACATTATATAATGATAAGTAGTTAGTTGAGTGTATAAAATAAGGGTAATGCTAAGAAGACTAAATTTGTAGACAAAATTTTAGAAATTAAAGGACATGGAAGTTAATGATTGTTTTATTACTTAAGCATTGATAAACATGCTCATTTCTATTGTTGACACATCATTTAGTTTGCAAATTTTATCTCACTAACATTATCCTTAAAATAAATATATAAGTTGCAGCACTTCGCAAGTACTTCTCAGTTTCACTTTCCTCGATTTTTCTATTGTCCCCACAAAAGAAGTTTTTGGGGGACTATGAAATGATATGGAGGCAGTAGTATATACACACAACTAACCCATCTCAAAAATGGTGATGCCCACCTTGTTCATGCTAACTGAAAACTACCGGCATTCTCTGATTAGATTCAAAAGTCATGGTACAATATCTCAAAGGTCATGGTATTTGCTCTTTCTTTCTCTCTCCTTATGTGATTCGCTCTTCATATAGTATAACATCATCTAAATTCAATTCAGTACTGCGTACCAAATTACCAATGAAGATGATTTGGTAAAGCAAAATGCTTTAAAGAAAAATAGGAACAAAAGTAGAAGGGGAACTATGAATTAGTACCTTTGTCATTCAAACTCCCAAGAGAAGACTTAACATTATTCCCCTCTATAATCAGGAAACGGAACTCTGCCAGACTCAATGTGCTTGACATCTTCAATGAGGATCTCATAGTGCCTCTTCACCTCCTCAGCAGACTTCCCACCGACTGCTCTCGCAACCTTCTGCCAGCGGTCAGGGGTGTCCTTGTCGTACAAAGCCAGGGCCTTTTCAAACTGTTTGTTTTGCTTAGGAGTCCAGGAGGAGCTAGAGCTTCTCGAGGAAGTGAGTGAGTTGGATGCCATCATAAGCACTTCTCAAAAAACAAAACCTAAAAACACTTCTTAAAAAAGGAAAGGAAGGGCGGTGTTTATCTCGGTCAAGGAAGACTGAGGTCGAGGAATGGCTTGAGAAATAGATAAGTAAGCTCCTTATAAGCAGGAGGAGAAGCACCAAAAAGGAGTGGTGGGGTAAATGGAGTAGTGGGGTTAAGCCAGTTGGCCGAATATATCTTCAAAAGGGCGCAATTTGAAGTGACTCGTTCCCTCAAGAGCCACAAGATGAAGATGCAAATGGCAGAAGAGAATCCAGTACGAAAGGGCTGGCCCTTTATTTATTTACTTTTTTTCCTTCTACCACAACTATATTCCTTGATCGATTGCCCAACAAGTTGGACCTACTTTTTTTGCAGTTACTCTTCTTAATTATGCAGTGCTGTTAACTTTGCAGCAATTGAAAACACATAATGTATCAGTACTTGCTTGGCTGGCATAAACAACTAAACAGGAGAACTTCCATGCAATCTGTTGTATATTCCTCGCTGTCTCTCTCTCATCAAATCTTCGTCATGTGACGAGAGGAAGATATGGGTATACAACATAGAATATGTAAATTTTTCTTCCGTGCAAATAGATGTTTCTTTTTCAATTTCTTTTTTTGTTTATACATTTTTTTAAAGACTCAAACCAAAAGTCGGTATATGTTAGAGGAGGATTTTTGTTTATTCCATATAGTATTTCAGCATTAACAGGGAAATGGGCTCTTCTTCTTAATGAAGTTGCTGGTAGCCTAAGCATTATTGATTAGTTGTGCCAAATTAAAGCTGTATGTACGATGTATATATTCCATCATTGCCTCCAAATTAGTTATAAGGAATGGCCATTTGGACATCAATTTATTTGACATTTGAGTGTTAATTACTGACTAATATGCTTTTAGGTATTGTCCCTATAAACATGGAAGCTTGTGCAGAAAAAAAATGTCAACTTTACAGAATCACACAGCAGAAAAAAAAATGTTTGATTTCATTGCCAGTTTGAATGATCTGAGAGGGTCGATCGACAAAGTAAAGATTTCCTTCTGGTGAACTTAACTTCAGAAATAAGGTTTGATCAAATTTCAAGTCCTTCGTTCTTGGGTTCTACTCTTTTTCTAGCTCCGGAGGGACACGTTCGGACGTACTAACATTTGGGAAATTGAAAGAATGCCATATACAATATGTTTTACTTTGTAGTTTAGGCTTAATTTTCTCTTTTAAGTAACTGTTTTCTCTATATATGTGATAAGGTCTCAGCAAGCTAGGGCGACATGCCTCTCTGTGTTTTTACCTTTATGTTCTCCATCATCATCCCATGTCTGAAAATGGGCAAGGCAGGATATTTGAGATTGTGTTAGTATAAAGGGTCCATATCTTCCCCTTTAGGTTGTTGGATTCCAATGTTGTTGGATAAGTTCATGTACAAAATGGTAGTTAACAGCTGCTATACATGGTACGTTAAAATTAAGCTCAAATGCATGCCGATAGCAACTCAATATTTTATGTCAATGTGCATTCATTTGGACCACATTCGAATCTTAGACGATCTGTCCTTTCCGATATTTCCTTTCAGAAATGATCACACATTTTATCTCTTCATGCATTCCCTTGTTTATAGCATTTGAATCAAATCAAATAAAGAAAAACTAATGAACGGAAAAACATAAGTGTGCAAAAAGGGGAAAAAAAGTGCAAAAATGATTTTTCTTTGTTTTTCATCATGTATTGTTGTGCTTATTATCTTAATTTTCTCTTCTCTAGTAAACATATATTTGGTGATGATCTTGATTCTTCCATTCCACTTGCTATATATTCTTCCAAACAAGATATGGACTCATTTTCTTGGACCAAATAAATCTATGGCTGCTTGGAATGTTTGGGATATTCTTGAGATAGAAATGCAATTGGCAGATTACCAAGAATTCACTTCCCTAGCTAGTTATATACCAAGCAAGTTGGTTCAATCGACCGCCCCCTGTTTGTATGCAAGTGGCATATTTATTTTAGGTCCATTGCTAAAAAGCTTAGAATCTGTGATTGTTTAAGTTTTGGCTTACAAAACTGAGGCTAGGAATAAGAATCTTAAATTTCAACTCTCTAAACGAATCATTGATATATAGCTATATATCCTTATTTAATTACTTTTACAAGGAATTACTTTTGTGGTTTGTGGTTTGATGATGCATGCATATTGTACATTTTTGGAGTTTGACCATGTAAACAACAATTGTGAAATATTCATCGAACACAAACTTGTTATACTTAAATAGTTTGCACTAGTAAAAAAAAATTACTTGGCCGACATAATTTTAGGCGACGAAGAAAATTTTGTCGACCAAAAAACATTTGTGCGACCAAAAGTACTTTTTGTTGCACAAAATGTCTATGACAAAAAAAAAAACAAAAAAATCAAAACAAAACAAAACCTTTGCATGACGAAGAGTTTCGTCGTGCAAACTATAGTTGCTCAATGACTGTTTGTGTTCGTTGCGCAAGACCTAGAAAAATTCGTAGTAAATGAGAATTTGGCACCAATTTTGTGCAGTAAATGAATTTATTGCACAACGAAACGTTTCGTCATCTAGGAAAAACAGGACGACAAATGTCTTTTAGGCTTCGTCGCTCAACACCCTAGAATCTTAGATGGGACAATAATGGTAGAAATTTATTAGGGCACGAAGAAGGCACTTACGGAGACGAAGAGCTTCGTCGAGCAAGGATTCATGAGATTCCAGGTTAAAATTCCAAATCCGCACCCTTCTCTCCTCATTTCCTCTCTTCCTCTTCTTCTTCACTAAATTCCAAAATTTCTTTCTCCCCCAAATCCCAAAACTTATTTCCTTTGATAATAAGATCCACACTAGGCTATTACCAACGAAACTTTATTGAGCATAGTAATGTCCACACTTTGATAATAAGATTGATTAATCACAACAATGTGGCCATATAGATTATGTTGTAAAATCGACAGTTTGTGCAGTGGAATAAAAGAAACAAGACACAAAATTTACGAAGTTCCTCTACAGTCAGTGTGACTGGACTAAGTCCTCGGGGCAGCAGTGGTGCTTTTATTATAATCTGAAATAATAAGAGTGCAAAGATAACTCTCTCTATTATCTCTTCTCGCCTTCCTCTCTTTTCTCTCTTCCTCTTCCTCTCTTTTCTCTCTTCCTCTTCCGTGAACTTCTCACTTATTTGAATTTGTGTAGGGTTTGTATTTATATAGAAAATATGTGTCATATGAAGGAAGCTTCAGCATACAGTGGAAGGATCCATTATTTAATTCTTTGAGTGGACATCCACTGTTCTACAACACTCCCCCTTGGATGGCCACAAGTCTTCGATTGACTCATTAAAATCTTAATCTATTTTTGGATGCTCCCTCTAATAAGTATCTTCCCCTGATTTCAAATCATTTAGGCTAATCGTTGATCATTCTACTTTAGTTTCTTAGTAAGAAGAGTTGCGAAAAAGGTGTTTTACTTGTTGTTAACTTTCCACAAGCTATTTCTTGAACTGGGCTGGAGGGCTTTCTGCTAGACTTGCATCAAAAGTCTGATTTACTCCTTTTATCTGGAGTGGAATTTGATTCAATAGTGGTGGACACTTGATCTTGAATCGGACTTGTGATTTCTTCAAGGACTTCGATGCTTGATCTTGAATGAAATTGGACCATGATGAGCTTCACATGGCAAGTGATCTTCGGCTTTGTCTGGGATGAATCAGCACATGTTTGTTACGTTTGTCTCCACATGCTTCAATATATCATTTTCACTTGCCTTACTTGTTCCCCTTGCATAAGTGGTATTTTTCCTGCTTTTCCCCCTATGCATGTGTGGCATCTTCTCTTCTAGGATTTGTCCACTGATGCAAGAGTGGAATGCAACCCTTGTATTTGGACGGTTCATAACTTCTTGGTGACTGGAGACCCAGCTCCAACAATAGTTGAAGATAGCTACTCGAGAGCAATACTAGGTAAGCAATCAAGAAAGGTTCCAGGCAGTCGGTTCCTTACCGGGAGTTTGAGTGGAGGTTCCGACATATTACTTTCTTTATCCTTGTCTTGGCAGGTAAGAACAAGGACAAATGAAAAGACAGAGAGATTGCATGATATGAGATACTCTTACTCTCATCCCTGATGATATAAGGTACTCTTGCTTTGGCATGACTTGTTTTGAAGAGGTATTCTCGGAGTGAAAGGAAACTGAGTATGTTGAGAGGTATGGTTGCAGATGCATTTTCATCAATGAGAGAAAGTTAGGCATTTTGGATGTGTGCTTTGCCATGACGATGAAGGTCGACATATATAGGGATTTCCCCAATAGCAGGTAGTGGTGCTGTGCCTTTACTCTTGTCAGCAACTGTGGTGTAATTAGAACAGTAAGATTTACGTGTTTTTAACTTTATCAGAGATATTTGACAAAGTTGCACGCGATATCTGAAAAAGTTGAGATTGCATCTGAAAAATGCCAATGAACTTTATTTAGGAAAATCTGGCTTTTGGAATTTGGAGAGCGGTGCCTCTTCAATCTCTAAACAAGTGGTTATACTGCCTCTTCTTTTATAGAGACATCCATTGTGTTCAAGAGTATGCTAAGAAAGTTGTTGTCTGTAGAAATTTTCTCCTTCTTGCACTTCTGAGATTTTATTTGACCTCATTTTTTCCTTCATCATTTCTGAACATGGCTTGCCCATCTAACATTTGCTTAGATTTGAGTCTTATGAGTAATACAGATGAGCAGCGTCAGAATAACGTATGGCATTCGTCATTCTTATCTTCTAATGGTCCTCTTACAGTTGGGGACTCTGTGATGAAGAGTAACATAACCGTTATTGTGGTAGCTAGGAATCTTCTCACTCCAAAGGATAACAAAATCCTTTCAAAACGGTATAATGAGTCGGCCGTTCAAGACTCATTGGCTCTCAGTGTTCAGTGTGTGGGCTATGTATCCAATATGGGCCAACGCCTACTTGCTCAAACTCGCCAAGTTGAATCATTGATAGTTGAGATGGCAAGTCTTAAACAAGAGATCAAAGGGCTTAAGCACGAGAATAGAGTGTTACACGTGCTTGCAAATAATTACTCTACGAGCATGAAAAGAAAGCTCGACC